CCTGATGTCCAGTACCACATAAACTACAAAATATATTAAAAATGCATTAAAATATATTAATATAGAATAGTTACTTTAAATGTTAATAATATTTCCAGTTTTACTGTATTTTTTATCAAATAAATGCAGCCTGGGTGAGCATAAGAGACTTCCTACAAAAACATTTGGTAACACTTTACTTGAAGGGGTGTGCATAAGACTGGCATTTGAGTACGTCAAGTGTCACAAATTGCAGAAACTTGTGGAAAAACTCCTGATTCTACCTGAAAAATGCAGATACATTATCTTTATTAATAATATGCTTTTTTTCTTCTTCATCTCCTCAGTCAAGATATTTAGGCCACCTCTTTGATCTACCATGGTCAGATTTTATGTTCTGAATAATTAATTGTCCATTAACATCCTGCAACACTATGGTGATGAATACCGAGACGCCTTTCCCCCTTTTCAGTGAAATAAATCGAATCAACACAAATCTATTTTATTTTCAGGGCCCATTTGATAATGCTGCTATCTTATTGAAGAGCCAACTCAAGCCAATGACATCCAGACAAGCACAATTCATCTGTTACAGCACTGAAAAAAGGAATGTAAACTTATGATGCATCAAAAATTCACAATATAAAAACACTTATCTTGAATTTCAAACCCCCAAATTTAATCAAGTCAATGCTTAAAGATGTAAGGCTGATGTATGAAGATTAGTTTGATTACATGCACTCACTGGCCAAAAACCATCTCAATGAAATGTTGACGATTAATCTGAATACATTAAAATGTTTATGTTCATTAGGCACTGAAGCAGCAAAGCTGCTGGATAAAAGAACACAGACATTTCCTTTCCTCTGCCATTAAATAAATTGACAATTTCTTCCAATAATCAAACAAACAAAAAAAACAATATTAAATACTTTACAATCTCTGAACAAGACTTGCCAGGGGTAAACACTGAATGTGACTTCATTATACGCATGTTTTTTTCTCGGGGAAACTGTGTAGTGATGTGTGAATGTTTAGTGGTTTAAAGCAAGAACATGTGTAGTGTAGCATGATACAGAAGTAATACTTATAAAATGTGTGTGAATGTAACAAGCAGCCGAGGTACTGTTATTTTCAAATTTTGTCTGTGATGTAAACCTCATTGGTTGTGCAAGTTGACGTCCAGGAGTGTGTTTGTGAAGTGCTTTTGGGAAAAGTGTACTTGCAGGGGGGTTTCATGGCAGTTTAGTCCAGTCTGGTTTTTTGTTGCTTTGGTTTTAAGAGGCAGAGAAAGAGACAGAATAGATAGATAGATAGATAGATAGATAATAGATAGATAGATAGATAGATAGATAGATAGATAGATAGAGAGAGAGAGAGAGAGAGAGAGAGAGAGAAGATTCAGGCCCTTGAAGATATTCAGACCACAAACTTGTTCTTAGTGGTGGAGCCACTCTTAGTGGCAGTGTCAGCATGAGACTGGTAGCCAATGGTCATATTCATAGGGATGCCTAATCGTTCCTTGTACACCCTCCTGCCAAACAAACACAATCACACATTGTGCCAGGCTGAGTATGTTATCGTTTATTTGTAGCGTGACTGCACGAGTCTCACCCTATGTGCGTTACAGCCTCTCTGTTCTCGTAGTCACTTGTCCAGACGGCAATTTTGTCTCCTTTTGTTCGGACATTGACTACAGCCCCACACACATCATCGCTGTAGTCGTCAAAGGCCTCACCGATGAGGCACAGCAGCTGTAGGTACGACACAGGTGAATGTTAGAGAGTCAGCGCTGCAGAAGTACATGAATTACTTGAATGCTGAGGGGGCGTTCAGTGACTAACTCAGAACTCTTACAGTTTCCAACCAAAAGCGGTCCAGGTCATACTTCCTCTGCTGCTTGTTGAGAGTGAGGAGCCAGCGGCCTCCTCTTTTATTCCTCTCATCCTCCCACATAGGTTCAATACCATCCTACAACCCAAGCACAAAGCAAGGTCCACTGTAATCTGGAGAATCTCATACAATACCTCTAAAAAGCAGCAGGCAACAGTAAACAAGCAAAAATAAACTAACGAAAAAGAAATAGAAATACACAGACGTTATGTTTTACAAACACTACGCTTTTGGCAACTGATTCTTCACAACACTCTGTCCTCTTTTATTACAGCCCACTGGAGATTACCACAAACAGATCAATGAAGTAATAACAGTAAAAACAGTAAAGCATGCCACTATCTTAGCCAAGTTAATGGGTTCGAATCCTAGTGAAAGAACTGATTAAATATGTACCTTGAATGCAATGCAAGTCGATCTGAATAAAAGCGGCTGCCAATGTAAATGTAAGATTTGTAAAAGAGACATGCATACAGCATGCATTCTTTCTTTTGTTACTTATCTGGCAACATTTCATCATATTTTGGGATTTTTTTTCTCTAAAATTAGTCCAAACACATGTTCCCTACTGACTTACATTAGAAAAGAGCAACAGCTTATCTGATTATATGGCAAACTGCAACAGATGCTACAGTATGATTGGTCAGTAATGTTTTGGTGCAGCTTTGCAAAGGGCCAATTAGTTCTTGAAGTCATAGTAATGCGTGTTTATTGGGTAAAATTTCAGAGTTTTAACAATGACAATTTTCCTTTTTGAGATTAAGTATTTGGGTGAACCCTTTAAATACATAAAATTCACAGCAGTTATGATGGAAGCCTACCTTGAAAAGTGAGTAGTCACATCCTGACATCAAGTTACTGGAGAGCTGAATGTGGTTATAAAGCCTATAAAGAAGAGGTTCATAAAATCAATTTGACTAGTCTCAAATTTGGAGATCAGTCTGAGATTAGCCTGCCATGTTTTGCTCTTGTCATTTTTGAAGAACCATAAAGACCATCTTCAAGGAAAAAAATAGAAACAACATCTAAAGAAACTAAAAACTACATTTAGAAGCTAGCACATTATTTGAAAACAAGTGCATTCATTCACTTGACCTGTTCTGTAGGGGGTGTTTGATGTAGCTCTCAGGGCTGACAATCTCCTGATTTGTCTCTTCTGAGCTCTCCTCTTCACTCTTACAAGAAATTGAGTTTAATTCCTGCACAGGAACCTTAAAAAGATTTGTTTAAACCTAATACATCCAAGTTCACATCACAGCAGCCAGTGTAAAGACACACACCGCTGACAGAATAGAAAGACTGGAGGCAATATCCCTTTATTGTCCTCGTTTATTTAAATTAACACAAGCATCCAGAACAGAACTAATTCAACAGCTGGGCCCAATGCAATACCTGGTAGTTAAATGTGATTGTATTGTATCTGATGTTAGTCTGAAGACTACAGTCACTGTTCGTTTCGCTTAACTTGAACCAAACATGGGCTTTGTGCGAGAGCTCCAAGTGTTTACAGTCATTCATTATTATGAGCGCGAGGGTCTTTCGTGTGAGCAGTTTAGAAAATGTAGATACAAATTTATACGCTTAAAATTAATTTAACGTGTCAATCTCGAATTTAATTGCAGATTGTAACAGCTGTGAATAAATTATGGTTTGGCACAGCTTTAATAGTTTGATCCAGCATGGTGTCGTTCCACTACAATTCACTTCCACTTTCCTCATTGCTGTCTTAGTTTTTGACAGCTGTGCTGTGACGGGCACGCTTTGTTCCCGAAAGACAATAAAACAAGATTTAAAAAAAGTGTGACTAAATGCATAGGGTAGTGGTGACGAACAGACATCTGGAAAAGTAATTACGTGTCCTACGCGTCTGGAACAAGCCTTGTCAACTTTCAGCCAAACCTGTTGAGCCACCCATTCAAACATGCCGAAAAACGTTTTAAAAGTTTACAGAGGACGACATTTAAACGTAATTTTCGCCTAAACGAAGTATAAATGTATTGGTAAGGGCAGGTATTTTTGTAGCGTAGCGCTGAAGGGCAGGGAAGTGTATAATAATCTTTGAGAAGTTTATTGACTCACCGGCTCCGCCGTCGCCATTTTAAGTGAGTCGCTCACAGGCCTCATCAGGGACGTTCACGCGTCACTTCAGTGCTTCGCTCTGATTGGCTGACACCGTGCTGAGAGCGAATCAGAAGCTCTGTCTCAAAACTTATCAACGAGACGCCTACCAGAGATGATTCGAACACGATTCGGATAATGAATCATTCTTTTGAATCGGATCTTAATAATGAATTAATAGGACCAGTTCACAAACAGTCACGATTCTCAGTTCTCAAATCACCGACTCTTTGAAATAATAAAAACCAAATACGTTTATGTTTTTATGTAATATAATTGAAAAGCGATATTCTTTATAAAAGTTAAGACTCTGCCACGCCTACCTAAAACGGCTCGTTCTAACACGCCCCCACATATCTATGTCACTATGTGGAAATATTAGCATAATGCCACCCAAATGTGCACACAAAGAAAGAAGGTGTGGTTTCAGGAACAGCAGTGTTGATGCAGCGCATTTTATGGACGACAGTCTTTTGAACCTAGAAGAGTACAAGGCTGGCTGTGCACAAAGGCTATTTCTAATGTGTTTTTTGAACATTAAAGCATGTCAACATATTCTGTTACACCAGATACACAAAATAATGATCTTTAAAAAAGTATCATATGACCCCTTTAAGACATAAAAGGGCAGCTGAATCGTTTTTGACCGGTTCGTTGGAACGAACTGTTCGAAAGAACCGATTCGCGGAAATGACGCCCCCAAATATTGTCTACGTAGGTGGCTCGTTAGGTTATACAGTCTATGGTTTTGACACACAGTCGTGCACTTCAATAACTGTATATATTTCTAATGCATATATATAAAGGAATAATAATACTATGAAACAGGCTAGAAAATTAAACATTGTAAAAAGAAAGAAAATTATTTTGTTTATAGCTGCATTTATCAACTCTACATAATCGGCATACATAGTTCATTCTGTTTAATTCATTCATGTTTTTCCATTATGAAGGTTATAATAAACATATTACAATAATTCCTACTATTTTGGATGATAAATCTTTTATTCTGACCGCAATGTGACTCATGACGTCGAGATGTACCATGTACTTTCTGTTAGCTGCCCAGACCGGAAGTATCGCCAGCAGCCATCTGGTTGTCAGCCCTTCGGCCCTGTCTCAGGTCAGCAGTGATCATTTTGCTTTTTTAAAAATGTCAAGAACTAATCGGATCGTAAATAATTCGGAGGTACGCCATCGTGATGTGTTCTGCGGGACGCGGGATCGAGGCGGGTGTCGGTGCCAGCATGAGGCTGCTGTCAGACCCGCACACAGCGAGCAGGTAAAAGGGTCAGATCTGATCCAGCTCTACTAAACATTTAGCTGTGATATAGGTTTTGCTTAATATTTAAATATAATAACTAAAAAATAGAGTAGCAGGAGTGTATTTGGCGTCATTTCTTTCACTTTTTGCTCGGAAACAATATATTTTTGCCTCAGTATCTCTTTTTAGCTTACTTTAGCTAAATAATGAAACCCAAGTATACCAACCTGTTTTTTTGCCTGCCTATATTTAGCATAAGCACATACATCACACACTATACTCTCACGCACGGTCATGTGGTGTCATCTTGTACAGTATTTCCACTTTCTGCTTTGTATTACTTAAAAACGCATTGTGTAATCTAGCCTAACTCTGTTTTTGCTCTCAGAATGATTTCAGGGGAAGAGAAAGACCACATAGTCATTCTGTAGCAGAGCCACAGGCAGCAGCAGGACCTGCGCCAGAGACTCCTTTGGTGGACGACTGCGAGAAGCTGGGCACACTTTTCGGGGAGCTCAATAAGTGTTTGAGGGGCATTGGTTTTACCCAGCTTTACTTTGGAGAGAAGATCGTGGAGCCCGTAGTCGTGCTGGTGTTTTGGCTGCTGCTCTGGTTCCTGGGTATCCAAGCCCTCGGTCTTGTGGGAACTCTATGCATTATTATCATTTATATCCAGAAATAACAGATGTGAAGCCGGACAGACACATGAAGGTTCATTTGCCACTCACAGCCAGTGCCAGTGAAAGAGAGGAGAGACTCCTTTGTACAAAAGATGAGCTACGTGAATGTCATTTGAAAGTTTTACCTGGTCCGTATAGTTGCGTCTGTGTCATTTGCCTTCTTTTTATGTGGGTATGCACAAGAGGGTGAGTAAATGAAGATAATCAGAGGATTTACTTTAACTACTGGAATGATTCCTCCAGTCTATGTGAACTGTGTATTCGCTGTGAAAGGTACTTGTGAAAAGCATGCTTCCCTTCAATATTTGCATTGACACAATGGTGCATATTGATATGCAGACTATCAAAGGACAAAGAGCATTTCTATAACCAGTTTCTAATTACAGTGGTACATATCAGTTATACGGTCGTTGCCGTTGTTGAATGTATTACTTTTATTCGCCCAGGTGTCAGTCCTGCATTCTCCACGCAATTGCACTAGAGGGCAACCTTCCTCATTTTCCCCTAAACATGTCTTGGGAAATATACCAGGGAATAATAATCATCATTCAGTGTTAAAACTTGAATGTGTTTATACTACTGCATGTGAATGTTTTGGGGCTACTGGGATAACTTTGGGTCACCTCTGAAAGTATGAATTAAATAAAATGCTCCAATAGTCTGAGCAGAGGAAGAAACTAGTAAAACCAAACCTTTTATGATAAAAGATCTATATTATGCACTGTAAATCATATTTGGTATTTTTATTAGTTGATTTTACTGTAATCTGCCCATGTTGCCTGTTCTTTTCATATATTCATGTTGCAATATCAGTATAAAAAAATCAAAAGGGTAATTTCATAACGGGGAAATATTTAGTATGCAAATTTTGCTACAATAGAACATGTTGTATGACCCATATTCAGGATCAGAAGTATGAAAAGGTCTGTTTTTATTGTACTTAAGTGTTTTCTTTATGAATTATTACATGTCAAAAATTATTGAACAAACTCTAACTTTTTAAGCAAGGTTAAGCTGCTCTTTATGTAACTGTGAACATCTTTGCAAGATGACATTACTTCATTTTCATGAAAATCGTGTTAGATTATGATTATAAAATGCCAAAACTTTGCTTTTACGTTTCTTTTTCTTTTCAGTGTTAATTAACATCTTCTGTGCCATAATTTAATTTCACCAACGTTTCATTTACTGTATGCCACAATGCTGTACTTTTGGGTGGTGGTGGGTTGTTAGGACTTTGATTAATTTATTTTGAAAGAATTTATATTTTAAATCATTCTGCAATGTATTTGAACTTTAAAACTGGGTTATCATAATAAAAACTATTGTTATTTTAAATAATTTGTTGTTACACCGTTTCAGTTTTTCAGAATTCCATCAAATTCATCTGGGTTGCATGTCCGAAAAGCATTGTAAGCTTATAGATCATAGAAACCTTTGCCACCAATAATTTCTGTGATCTACTTCACATGCTTTCGGGAAATGCAGCCCTGGCAAGGGGTTACAATATATTATTGTGTTATAAATTTTTAGTACATCAAATACAGTACATTTGAAAGAATTTCTTGTTTAACCCAAAGTAAAATGGGAAGAAGACATGAATAGAAATGCTTAAAATATGAAATCCTTAATAAGCTTAATATATATATTTTTTACTATATTAATAAGTTATAGTTTTACTTCAGTAAAAGAGAGAGAGAGAGAGAGAGAGATTGCTTCACATAATACCAGAGTATAAAAACGAGCACCAGAGAATCTCTGCCTCTCTGCATTCATCACAGCAATACGACTACATTGGGAAATGGCCACTGCAGGGAAGGTTCGTAAACTTGTCTTTTGGATTCATTTCATTTGTGCTGCAGAGCAGTTAATGCATTTTTAATATGACTCCAGTCCCTTTATATATTTAAGCTCATTTCCATTGATCGATTGATGAGGAACAGTTTACAGTGCAAAGACATTTAAAAAAAATTACGATTCTATCTGAGCAATTTAATGGTAATGTTTTAATAAGACTCTCATCAGAATGTTATGAATGCTTTAAGCCCTCCAGTATATGCAAAAACTTATGCTTAAGGAAAATATGCAAGATCAATGTCTCGATTCAAATGCATGTACAGTGATAGCTTGTGTATATGTTATTATTGCAATGCACAACTGACTTGCTGCACTTCTAATTACAATACTAATATATATATATACAGTATATATATATATATATATATATGTGTGTGTGTGTGTGTGTGTGTATAAACTACTGTGAATAAAAAAGACTATATATCATATACAAAGACAATATAAAGAGGTCTAGATGTAACATGTAAAAACAAAGTGACAATTGTATGTAAGAATTTTTTAAATCTTTATACATAAATATATATATAAATA